AGAAATAAGCATAGTTGACTAATCTTTTCTGATTTTATGGTAATTTTGCTTATGACAAAGACTTCGCGTATAAACTGAAACCAAAATACTGGGATGCAATATTGCTCTAAAAAGAAATCTGCAAAATCCTTTCCTGATGTCTACTGTCTGAACAGAGAATGAAGATTCATGGGCAAGGCGAATGGAAGATTCGGATGATGCTTGATGGATGATACCAAGAAATAAGGAAGAAAATAACGTTACTTCGTTCGCGTCACTTTGATGCGCTAGAATTTCGAAATCAGACGTAGCACATTGTACATATTTCTCGCCATCCTTCTGAAAGATTTTCTTTGAAAAATATTTGTGATGATTTTAAAGGTGACGAGTCTGTTTTTGCGATGAACGAGGTTACTCTCGTCAATGAGATGATACGAAATGTTTTGCACGGCAAATTCTCAAAGTTATGGTGCTTAAATAACCGTCAGTATCATCGAGGGCGCAGTGTCATGCCGTAGTCTGTTTTTGGATAGACTATGCCCTTGTTTTTGCTTTTAAGCACTCTCGATTTACTTATTTTAGTTTAAACCCTAATGATGAACAGTTTAACTGTCCAGAACGTCAGTTTCTGAACAGATTTGCCACTTTGACTATAACTTTTGAATGATGACACTTCCTTTGCCTCCCCATTTTCATCAACAGGCAATAAAATCTTTTTTCTAGAAACAGTATAACGGAGTTGGAAAAATGTCGAAGTCTTGTACTGGTAAAGAAGGTTGAGATTGAAGCTGCGACTTTCAGTAGGTCCTTTGTTGTAGCTTGATTTGGGGGGGTTGGCCAGACAACGAGGTTGTGATGCTGTTGGTTTGTTTCTAAATGAGAAAACGAGCATAACGAGTTTTTGCTTCCAAGCATAGCATTGTTTTGAACATTGTTTAAATTAACTGTTGATTGACACTCATAGATTGATCAGTTATTGACGGCAGCTTCCACATGCGTGATTATTCTGTTGTTATCTGTTATTCAATTTATTACTTAAAATGAATATTTAGCTTTTCACGGAATAAGTGAAGAAGTGCTGACAGAAAGTCTGAAAACTTTGGAAGATACGGGAAAAGCTGAAATCATACGCTCCGATAGTAGCGTCGGCGTAAAATTCTTCTAATCTGCAAGTGACTTTGGTGAAGTAGCAGTAGTGAGTTGAAAAATTATGAATAAAAGTGTTGACTCGGCGGATACAATTGCGGAGGGTGACGTAGTTATTCTTTACACAGGTTTCAGACAGACGGTGATGATTACGGTGCAGCTAGGTAGGGTGCATCAGACAAAATTCGGCGCTCTTCGGCACGACGACCTGATTGGTAGGAGGTACG